ATATTACATATGTAATATATATATTACATATGTAATATTAGTGTTTACATGCATTGAGAATTTTGGCATCAGGAGGGTTGCCTCCTGATGACTAACGACGAAATTATTCCTCAGGGGAAGAGATTTAAATCTCAAAGTCATACAGCCATCACAAAATCTAGGTAAGAGAAAACTAAGCCTCCTTGTGGACAGGAGAAAATATAAAATCTCATGTAAAACTAAATTATAGACTCAATAGAAAACATCAGAGCATTTTCTGTACCCTTCCCATCACCAGACTACATGGCTGTGTTCACTGCCCTTATCGATTTGTATGAACTTTTTCACTCCATAAACGCTGGCTGTGCCTGTAACGGAGGGACAGACAGCACAAAGTCCACAAGCATCAGAACTTCAGTCTCCTTGCCTCATCAGCCAGTCAGCACCGTGACAGTAGCAACTGCTTCTTTACTCCATAGCATTTCAGATTCCTGGAACAAAGCTTAGCCTACGGGATACTAACTACAGTCCAGGAGGCAAGGCAGTGTTTGTGAACAAAGTTCTGTGGGGACCCAGACACTTTCATTCCTGTCTTATTCATGTCTGCTATATCAGAAAGGGAGACAACCCACAAAATATACACCTTTACTACATGTCCTTTATTTAAAAACCAAGTGTGTCAACTCCTAGCCTCCCACACATACCATCTCTACAAACTAAAATTCGATTAATATTTGACAAAGAATAACTGGTACAAATTTGGGTAAGGGAATGGATTGCTGACAAATACAGTAGCATCACCTATGTATTTCACAAACGCATAAGACCTTGAGTTATTCAGTAACAGTAATTACCCTGTACTATTAAAGATTAAATTATACTCAGTGAAATTCACATGCTTTTTGCCTACGATCTAGTTGTGGCTTAGTAAGCATTTTGGCACACACGCACTAATAATTTTGAAAATCTGGATGAGATGAAAAATTCTGAAGAAAAAAATGACAAGTTTAGAAGAGGTTGAAAGTATAAACTGAACTATATTCATAAAATTAATTCAAACACTGTTGGAAAAATATCCACATAAAAGACACCAGGCCCACAGTTTCAAATATGAATTCTTTAAAAATCTTAAATTTCCAAAAATTCAAACTATTCTGAATTCAGAAATGAACAAAACTTTTCCAGTACTTTTATGATCCTATGTCAGTGATAACTGAAAATCGACAAGCTATAAAAAAGAAAGTCATAGACTATTTATCTTGGAAACAAGTAAAATGGGAAATGAAAATGATAACATGAAATTTATCAAGTGAAGAAACATTAAAATACTTAAAAATATATTTTGTTCAGAACTGTTCAGTATCATAAAGTCTATTATAATTCATTCTAGCAACAAGACCAATTCCTATAATGTCAATGGTTATCAAAGGCATATGATTCAATTCAGCACTCATTCATGACAAAATCTTTAATAAAATGGAAAAGGACCAATGATGACTGTAACTGTACTGTATACCTAAAAATTACCGATAAACTCATGAGAAAATAAATAAATAAATAAAATGGAAAAGAAGAGCTGGGGATATAGCTGTATGCACAAGAGCCCGGTTTTAATCACCAGCATTGTGGAAAGAAATGAATATAGTCTAAAGCTTAATATTTTTTCAAAATAATTATCTGTATAATACTAAATAAAATATGAGTGAAATATCAGAACCATTCCATTAAAGCTAAGAAAATAACCTTAATGAATAAGACATAGATATGATTTTTTCTTTTTTTTTTTTTTTTTTTTTTTTTTTTTCCGGATTTTTTTTTTTGTACCAGGGATCAAACTCAGGTCCCTGCACTTGCAGGGCAGGCAGTGGAACCACTGAGCTAAATCCCCAGTCCCAAGATATTATAATTATTGATGTGCAGTTAGGCAAGATGAAGATGTGAAGGATACATATCTGAAGTGACAGAAGTTTTATTATTTGATGATAATGTTATTCAGTTTATAAAAACCACAGAAAATAGACCCAAAAAATCACAGACAGTAAAAATGTCTGCAGTTTTAAGATGAATGTACTTTTTACATTCTTCACATCTTAAATTTTCAGTTTAAAATTAACCTCAGCGGCTGAAAACGGACTTCAAAAAATACCTACACGCATTTTGGTAATGTTCTTTACCACATCAAACTAGCATGGACACATAAGGCAAAATAGGATATTTCAGAAGTGCACAGTACTCAGAAAATTACTTTGGACTATGTTGGAAAGGGAGATGTGCTCAAGCGGAAACACATGCAGAGATTAACTTGAGGAAGCAAGGGAGATGTGGGATCCAAGAAAGACTGATGAACAAAAGCATCACCAACATTATACTAAGACTATAAAACTTGTTACTAAATAATACCTAAGAAATTCTAGATAAAGTGTAAAAAGGATAATTTTTAAAATAGAGGCTTCTGTTATGAACATGCATATACTCAAAAATATGAAAGGGTAGCAATTAAGAAAGCAAATAAGAAAGGTCCTATGAAATGAATGATCCAGAATAGACATCAATGGTTAGTTTCTTGCTGGAAAACTTCATTATAAACCTAAGCATAAGGATCATAGGGCATCCCTGTCCCTGCCTGGTGAGAGACAGCCTTAGAAGGGAGACTGCAGGGAGGAAACTGAATAGAGACTGAGACACACATGCATCCCTGAAAATATAGCTGAGTATTCTTGTTATGTCCAGTAATCTAAATGCCTGAGTATTTAAGGGCTTTTCAGTGAAGGGAGCCTATAAATCCCCCCCACCTTTTTGGTTTTTTGAGTCAGGGTCTCTCTATGTAGTTGAGACTGATCTGGAACTCACTATGTAGCCCAGGCTGGTCTCAAACTCACAGTGATCCTCCTACCGCAGCCTCCTGAATCCTGGGATTATAGGTGTGTGCCACGACGCCCGGCTAAATTCCCCCTTTATTTTCTCAAACTGATTCAACTAGTTGACATTTTTAGATAAGGATAAGCATACTAAAGTACCTACAAATATATAAAAATTAACCTGAAAGTCTAATTTGCTGATTCCCGACTAGCAGTAGAACCCCCTGGCCACAGAGCATCTGAAGACAAGTGGAGCACCACAGCCTGGTGATGTAAATAAAGGGAAGATGCTCACGGCGTTTAGTCCTCTGGGGTGAAGTATCACTACCATGCACAGGACCATCTTGTTAAAGACAATCTGTTTCTCCAAAATGTGAGTATCGCCCCATAGAGAAACACTGAGGTAGATGAAATGATTGCCTAGGAATTTAGAGATAATCCAGATTTGCTCATTTAAAAAAAGAAATCTTATCTAGATTATGAAAAGCCCACTCAAAATTCAACCTTCATTCCCCTCTTGCCTCCTCGTCTGACCCAGAATTCCCTTTTCAAAACACAAATCTGATCACATGTCCTGTAGTTTGCAGCCTTAAAGTGAATTCTCACACTCAGGCTGATGCCATAGCCTTCCTGGCGAGCCCTTCCTACACAGCAACAAACTGCTGCTCCCTTCTCTGGGTCCTTCTTGCTTCATCATCTCCACACATCCTAAGATGTTGCTGACAGCATCAAAAAAGCCTGCCACTGCTTCTCTAGAAGGTCAGATCTCCTTCTCATGAGCTTTCTCAGCACGCCATTCTGCTCCTTCACACCCGAGCCCTAAGTGTGACAGCAATTTTACATTCACCTGAAACTTGATTCATGTCAGTCTCACTATAAGCTCAGCAAGAACAGTCAGGCCAGGGATTTAGCTCAGCGGCACAGCACCTGCCTGGCAAGCACAAGGTCCCGAGTTCAATCCCCAGTACCAAAAAAGGAGAGAGAGAGAGAGAGAGAGAGAGAGAGAGAGAGAGAGAGAGAGAGAGAGAGAGA